CAGAAACACAACCCCCCAGCCTAAAACCACACTGCAAAAACACCCAGAACAGTTTTTAAAAAGCAGAAAACAGCACCTTACCTCCCTGCAAACACATCCACGCTCACTCCAAAGCAGGAGGAGGCAGTCCCAAGGCCCCGACAATGACACACACTCTCTAACTGCCAGGGTGAAAGAGCTACAAAGAAGCAGCCTAGTCATCACCTACAGTTAGCAATTTGAATTTCCCGCCTTTTTCCCCTGTCTTTTTCTGTTCATAAGTGGAAGCTCCAGTCGCAAGTAGAAGCAAAATTTTGCGGCCGGAGCTGTTCATAAGTCGAATTGGTCATAAGTAGGAATGTTTGTAATTGGAGACACGACTGTAGTCCTTCACACACTAATTGGTTGAAAGATGGTTCACTTACCAGTGTCTTGGAATTTTGTAGTGGGCTAGTCTGTTGTTGTTGGGGGTGCCCCTTATGTTCAAGGTAATTTATCTGCAAAGCTAAACATTTAGTTTTTAATTAATTTTTCTTATCTTTAGCAGATGGATAATTTTCCCAGAACTGGTTAGATACTTGTACTATCTCATGGGGAGAAAGATCTTTTCAATCCACTGCTGTCCATCTGATTTCAGAGGCAAGGAAAGCCCTGAGATTATCAACTAAGTTGGAAGTAAGCAGAGCAGGCTGTGTCTCAGAGTCAGGTCCAGAATATTGCTCAAGACTTTGCATATATCAATCAGAAAATGGATTTGGGGTCTCACCTTCTTTTTGCTTACGGTCCCACATTTTTAGATCAATTTACGTGTGAAGGAAAAGCTTCACATACTGTTCTAACTAATCTATTTAAGTCAGCAGCTAGTGGGGTTGTTCTGTGAGATGTGCTGGCAATTGATTACTCTCATGAAGCAGCTGATCTTGACCTGTGTGACAGGCTTAAAGAATATTGTAATCAGAAGTATTAGGAACATTTTAAAGTAACCAATCCATATCAGTCTTGGAAGGATTATACAATGGTGCCTCGCTAGACTATGATAATCCATTCCACTGAAATCGCTGTTTAGTGAAATCATCATCTAGCGAAAGGCATTTCCCCATTGGAATGCATTGAAACCAGCTTAATGCATTCCAATGGGGAAGAATCGTCGTTGTCTAGTGAAGATCGGCCATAGGAAAGCCACTTTGCGAACCACCAATCAGCTGTTTAAATAGCTGTCTTGTGAAGCTTAGGTCCCGAAAACACCTGTTTTGCGAGCACGGAGGGAGCTCTCAAAATGTTGTCTAGTGAAATTTGACCAAACATTGTCCAGCGAAATTCCCCCATAGGAATCACTGTTTTGCGAATCGCTATACCAATCACCTGTTCATTCATCCTCTTCAGATGAATGAACAGTTTCTAGTCACAATGAAAACCTGCAAGTCCTGAGAAATAAGGACTACAAAACCCATGATTTATAAGACAATGGAGCTCTTTAGCAAATAAAACAGGGTTGCCTCTGATGTAGGAAGAATAATCTTTATGGCAATAATTACTGAGACAGACCATGGGACATGCACAGGTTGAGGTTGGCCTCCAGCAGAGCCTGGAAACATACCTTTTGGAATCTGCCTTGATAGTATCAGGGCATTTTGCAATAGGTATGTTCCTGCTTTGGATATATTTCCCGATTAATATACAGTATATTGCCCCAGGAAAGTGCTTTTTCTTGTGTAGAAACCAATGATGGTTCCCAGCCATCTCTCTCAAACAAACTTCATTTTTAGCTAGATTCTTGCCAACAGCTGTCAAGCCTAGTTGCTTAAATGTGGCATTTTGAAAGTAATTTAATTAAGACAATGAGATCTCATCTAGAGGCCACCGTTCCACTGGATTAAAGGTGGAAAAATCTTGTTTAACAAAGCATCAAGAAATTGGAGTGGAAAGGCTGCAGACACAGAAGTGGGGGCTGGGGGTTAGGAGGAACAGAAGTAGTCTGTACAATAGGAACTGGTGGTGAATCAACAGGAGGTAGTTCCTGGGGTGGAAGGTTTTTAGGCTGAGCAATTACAAGCTGAGCTATTTCAGTTGGATTCAAAATGGCAAGAGAAACTAGTTCAAGGATATCCTCTCGTTCTTCTGTTGGCACAGAAATCTTGGTGTGTTGGAAGCTGAAACACAATATAAATGATAAAGGTGGAGAGTTTTCTGTTTGTGATTAAGTTTCTTAATAAATTTACCAATTTTTTTTTCTTGGATCTCTGAGACTGGCAATCATTGAATCTTGCTGTCTGCATAAAACATCACCATGCCAACAGTATCAATAATGCATTTGCTTAGGATGTTTTTAAACTAAAAATCCCTTAAGGTAATTTATTTTATCCTGGTCAAAACACCCAGTTTGTGGCTACTGCAAATTAGGACCCTCAGATGTGTAATCATTCCAGTTTTTTTTTTCTGACAGAAGGAAAATAATCTTTTAAGAAACATATGATGAGGCATAACTTTGCCATTACTATACTCTCTGACCAACTGATCCAGAGGAAAACCTGAGGGAAACATAGAATTCTTTTGTCCTATTGTTACTGTAAATGCATTTTCTATCTGCAGGAAAGGGTGATCCTAGAAGCCAATACCAACATTCCCAGAAAATCACTATGTGATTCCCCATTTTGAAAAACAATGTGGTGGGAGAGAAGCGATTCTTACCACTCCAGCAGTCAGGATGGGGGCAAAGAGGAACATTTTTAATGGGAGAAATAACTTTCTCAATACAGTTTTCTCAGAGTACTAGTGGAACCTCACCTGTAAGAAAGAAGGGATACAGATGGCTTGACTTTTAAAATGCATTACCAGAGCCATTAAATGCAGTGAGATGTTGGACAATAGGTGTCTTAGGGATCACATGGGAGACCACAGAATAAAGTTTGGGATCCAAGCTATGGGTTCAAAATACACATCATTGCTCTGAAACACCTGAAAGGGTTGAGCTGGCTCAAGCAGGGCTCTTGACAAAATTGCTAAGCTGCTGTTTAATGCCTAAAGGATTTCTGCCAAAACTCAAAACATTTGCTAAACAACATAATAAGCTAATGATTGTTTAATTTTTGAAGGCACAGCTTAGTGCAGGGAGGGTAGCAGATGGTATTTGTCAAATTAACTTTCCTTAAGGTTTTTACTACCCCTTTCCTTGTTTGTTTAATATACTTAGCCATGATTAAGCACCAAAGGTCTCCCCTAAATCTCTTTTGCAGAGGTGAAAGTTATGAATAGAAAGGTTCATTCTTTTTCATTGAAACCATACTTCTGCCTTGTTCCAGAACTCATTTAGCAGGATCTATCCTGCTTTTTCAAAGGCAGGGACTCTTTAGAATGCAGTCATTTATTACATTTCAAGGGGAAATGTAAGGGCCATTTAACCCATGATCTTGAGACAAACTTCAGCGAGAGCTACAGTCAATCACAGCTTCTTGGCAAGAGTACCACCTGAATAATATATGCTTCCGTAAATACATGTTGATCGCTTTCATGCTTTATACTTTCAGGTAATGTATGAACTAGCCTTGAGGCTCACTTATTTGGAAAATCTTTGGGGATTTGAGCAATGGCTGTGAATAGATAGAACAGCTTTGTAGAGCTGAGCATTATACTGCCAACTATTTCTACTGTTTTCCTTGTTTTGTTTTATGTTGGTTATACAACAAATAAGTTTTTAACAGATTGAACAACTATATGCATGTGTAGAATAAAATACACATGGAAGAAGATCCCGTTCTTGGGTACTTTGCTTAGATGCATCACAGTGAAGCAGTTTACACTGTTGGATATGTTCCATTTTCACCCTATTGAGCTTCATCTCCTCAAGAGTAACTTGCTGACATCTACATGGTGATGGTGAGCAAACCTTAGACCAGAGATGGCAAACATTTGGCATGCCAGAGGTTTTGTACTACAACTGGCATAGTCCTCTATAAGTGGCAAGAAAGGCAGGGGATTCTGGGAGTTGTAATCCAAAATATCTGGAATGCCAAAGGTTCAATGCAGGTGGGGCTAAAGCCAAAGCTGAGTAGACTAGACTTCTCATGTTCTCTTCTTGCTAACTCTCTCTCTCTCTTCCTCCCTCCCTGTCTCTGTCTCTGTCTCTGTCCACTTTTCATTCTCCTGCAGCCCATTTCTCCCTCTGTTAGACCGCTGCTCCTTCTTTCCCACTTTCTTTCTTGCACTGTCTCTGTCTGTCTCTCTTCCTTCCTCCCTCAATTTATTTTTCACATCTCCATTCTCTCTCTCTCTTTTTCATCAACTCTTTCCTTTTTTTCCTCGCATTCTCTGTAGCTCTTTCCCATTTTCTCTTTCTGTCAAACCCCGTGTCCTCTTGGTCTGCTGGAGAAGGGACAAATCATTTTTGCCAGAGTCCTGCAGTGATAAACTGTTGAGGTTTTCCATCCCTCTTTCCATTACTATGTTCATTTCAGCTCCTACGACTCTGTTCCTCCCTCCTTTTTGCCTTGTAGGTCCTCTCACTTGCATAAGAATAGACCAAGGACTGTTTGTCACACCCTGGTCTCCCCAGAGTGCCTGTGTAATCATTGACAGTTGAAGTGCTAATCATGACAATGTCATGTGAGTGAATAAAATATAGTGTTGTTGTGACTTCTGAGACATCATGTTATCTCATGATTACTCATCCTGGAAATCTCAAATTTTCAGGACACAATGACTTGTGTATTTCTTCAATTAGCTTTGGAGAATCAGATTTCCAGAACTACATATCTGATGCAGGGTCATAAAGATGTGAAATCTGCTGCCACATGGTACTTAGGTTGTAACTGTGTTCTATGAGCCATTAAAGAAAAAAATGGAACACCTGAGTGATGTCAGTGAGATATGGAGTGGAAATACATTGTACAAGGTTTTTGGTTTCTTTTTACTTTTATAAAACCTTGAAAAACTTAGGGAGTAGAGTGAGATGTTTCATATACAGTACATGCCTGAGATTGAAGGCTGTTTGGAAATAATGCAGTTCGTTCTTGGTTGTTCTGTAGGTGGTTGTCTGAAGCAAGCTGGCAGCAACCAGACCATTGCCTTTGCAGCAGCCATGTTGTCAGTTGATGCAGACAGCCCTCAGGGACCATCAACAAGTGTCCAGCCATGCCATGTGCTGACTTTGTCACCCATCAAAATACCACTTTTGACGGCACCTTTCCAAGGTAAGAGATTTCCTCTGTTGATCTATTAGCTGTTTTACTTTTAACCTGATCAGAATGGACAGGAGTATTGGAGATTATGAAGAACAATCAGATGGTTTCCACATTCCAGAAGCTGGAAATGAGGAACAGACATCCTCAATAAATGTAAAATTTGTTTGTCTTAGAGAAATTAAAGCTGTTGTTGGACTTCCAACTAGCTTCTCCTTTCTGTGAGCTCATTTTGAATATCCCTTTTGACGTGTCAGTTTATTTTCATCATGGTTGTTCTGGGTTTTTCGGGCTACTTCTCCTTTCTGCGAGCTCATTTTGAATATCCCTTTTGATGTGTCAATTTATTTTCATCAGTTGCTTGGACTGCATTCAGTGCTCTTCTGAAACGTTGCTGACTTTCGTCTTCATGTGACATACCCCGTTTGTTGGCAAGACTGGTTTCCCAGTACTATGATTTGATTTCCCAAAGTCTGGTTTTCTCATGTGTCATTAAACAAAACAACAACAACAACAACAACAACAACAACAAAAACAAAAACAAAAACAGTCAGTTTTCTATATGTGTTCTGATTGGTGGCCCAAAATCTCATTATTTAATTATGAAAGTCACTAACAACCATGATGTCAGAACTGGGTGTGCTAAAGGCACACTTTCTATATGTGTTCCGACTGGTGGCCCAAAATCTCATTATTTAATTATGAAAGTCACTAACAACCATGATGTCAGAACTGGGTGTGCTAAAGGCACACCAAGGAATTCTGAAATATATACTGTACATATATTTATTCCCTGTGTTATGGGGATAAATGAAGCAACAATACTGATGAAAAATTCGGCAATTGAAATACCACAGAACTAAAATGTATTTCTTATCAACATTTAGATAGAGAATGTATAATTCTTACTGATCCACAAAAAAGAGTGAAATCAGCCCAGTTTCTTAGAGGTGAATAGTTCACATGTATATGTTGAACTGCCTCATTTTCAAAGGCTTTGTCTTTTAGTTCAATGGAGGGGGTAACTCTTACCTGTAAAAGAGAGCCTTTCCTTTATGACACCTGTAGTAACTCAATATTAAAAGAATGAATTCCTTGAGTTCAGAGAGTATCAGATTGTCACAGAAAGATCTTGTTGCACCACCTGCAGCTTGCAAATTTGCTTGCTCTGTTTTGGAATTGGTTGGTGAGATTAAAACAGTCTGGAAACAATTCTTCACATGCCACCTTATATGGTTTGTTCATGGGACTTACATAGTCCTGATTTGGCCTATAGTTCTTTCATATTGTGTTCATGGCCATGGCCAAAAAAGGTTGAGAATGGCTACCCTAGCAGATGCATCAGATGGTTTAAGGGAGATCACTCCCTGCAAAGTGTTCCTTTCTGAGGCAAGCAGGCCTGCACCTTATCAGCCATCTGATAACACCCTGATATTGTTTTTTCCTGGTGAGAGGAAACCAAAAGCATGAGTGCACTCTAATTAAGAGATGACAAAATGAATGTATTGGTAAAGAACTCCTGGTTAATGTCAATTTCTTTCCCACCTGATTCACAAATTCTGTCTGTGTTCTTTGTGACAAGGAATCCCTTGAACAGAGAGTTATACCAATGCTGTGCACCTCTTTGCAGCCATTACAGCATGTACTTGTGTGAAGCACCAAAGGCTTGGTAGAAGATTATCTCAGAGCAAAGAGCTGTTTCTTTTAGATAACTGGCTTGACTTGGTATTGCATTGATAAATATGTCAGGTTTCGACAGCAGTTGTTTTCCTTAGGAAAATAAGGCTGAAGGATATCACATAGCATATTAGGAGTGCCTGAGCAATAAACCTATTATCCATCATGCACAAGAAATTGCATTATTCATAGAGATCCTTTCCTCTGATACGCACCGCCTTGTTTGTTCCTATTTTTTGAGGTATACAGTGGTGCCTCAACTTACGAACGTCCCAACCTACAACCATTTCGAGTTATGACCAGCTCCAGCTGCAAAATTTTGCTTCTACTTGTGACTGGAGCTTCCACTTACGAACAGAAAAAGGCAGGGAAAAAAAGGCAGGAAATTCAAATTTCTAACTGTAGGTGGCAACGAGGCTGCTGCTTTGTAGCTCTTTTGCCTCAGCAGTTAGACAGTGTGCATTGGAGGAGACTTGGAACTGCCTCCTTCTGCTTCTGAGTGAGTGTGTGTGTGTTTGCAAGGAGGCTTTGGGCTGCCTGGTAAGGTGCTGTTTTCTGTTTTTAAAAAACTGTTCTGGGTGTTTTTGCAGCGTGGTTTTCAGCTTTTTGGAGTGCTTTTTGGAGTGTTTTTCCCATTTCTGATTGGTCTTTAGGGATTTGTTTATTTTTGGTACCCCCCATTTCTGAAGGGTCTTGGGGGGTTGGTTGCTTTTTGGGTTTTTGTCCCATTTCCGATGGGTCTCAGGGGTTTTGTTTGTTTTTTGGCTTCCCCCATTTCCAATGGGCCTTGGGGGGTTTGGTTGCTTTTTGGGGGTTTTTCCCATTTCTGATGGGTCTTGGGGTTATGTTTGTTTTTTGGCTTCCCCCTATTTCTGATGCATCTTGGGGGTTTGGTTGCTTTTCGGGGTTTTTCCCCCATTTCCAATGGGTCCTGGATACTTCTCTTGCTTTTTCCTTTGTTTTCTTTGCATTTCCAATTTGCTCCATTTGTTTTCTGTGCATTTCCAATGGGTCTTGCATGCTTGATTGCTTTTCTCTTCCCCCCCCCCCTTGGCTGGAAGGGATTAATTGTGTTTCCAATGAATCTTGCAGTGATTTTTTATTTTTGGTAATTTTTTTCCTTCAGCCAGAATGGATTAATTGCATTTCAGTGCATTCGTATGGGAAATGGTGCTTCGACTTATGATCATTTCGAGTTACGTGCACCTTCTGGAACAGATTATGGTCATAAATTGAGGCATCACTGTACTTCTTTCTTAATGGTAGTGCCTGAAGAATAATAGTTGGTGTAGCAGTTAGAATTGTGAGGTCTTAAACATCCCTGTAAGAATTGATGATCAAAGTTTGTAGAAAGTTTGTAGAGGGAGTCTGATCAAATACTACAGCTGTGCTAGCAACAAGCTTATCTATTAGATTTAATGCAGCTGTGGAAATAAAATGCTAGAGAAGAAGTCTGTAGAAGCTAATCTCTAATTGGCCACAAGGGGCAATAAAGCTAACAGCCTCAGAACACTGTTTGTTGGGGGGTCGAATGGAGAGAAGGAGGAGTTACTCTGCAGGATGGATTTATGACGCAGAATATTAGTATGAACTCTGGACTTATGTTATGGTAAATGGACTGACATTGAATGCTGTAACATGTATGACCAAAGGACTGAAGAAAGGACAACTCTGTATGTATTACTACTGCTACAATACTGCTACAGTACAATTTATTTACTGCTCTCAATACCATTGTCTGTCTGATTACTGATACCCTGAATTGGATAAACCTCTGCTGGGGCAAAGGAAAGGGCACCACCTCATCCATAAAGCCCCTGTCAAGAATTATGCACTGAGGCTTACGCAGTATCCATTCCAGTCTCCATTGATAATCAAAAAAGCAGGAATTAAGTCCCAATACAAATGTACCAATTCGAATATGCACAAAGGTAAAATAAGTCAAAAGGAATTATTAAACAAAAAAAAATTCCAATTCCAAGTTTATTAAACAAATCTAAAACCTCTCATAACAACCACTATAAAACACAACTGTGGTTTAGAGACCTATATTAGAACTATCAAGTCAGAAATGTATGTGGTAATAAAAGATATTACCAACACTTTTTAACAGTTATAAAATGCAAGTTTCAAAAACAAAAATATGCCCAATGTGTATTTTCCTCTTGATCTTCCTCAGTAGGTTTATGGAAGGATAATAAAATAAACACTAGATGCTCTCTAGTTAGTTGTGAATCTGAACCATAGCAGTCTCTTTAGGGTTTAAATTAAGGGGGTTGAATAATTCTCAACTAGCCCCAACTGAGCTATAAAACTCTCTGGCTAACCCTGAGCAAACCACATTTTCTCTCAGCTTTTCCCATCTGAAAGGCTATTTTGAAGATAAAGTGGGAAATACGAAATGTTACTTTGAAAAGGTGGGGTGTAAATACATGAATATTGGCTGAAATTTAAAAATTCTGGTCCCTTCCCAGGGGGTCCTGAAACTCCCTTGGGGTACTTGTGTTATGGGGAAGCTGTGGGTGGGGGCACACAATGGGGGAAGCCTTGAATGTCCTAAAATTACCACCTCCAGGCAATTTCCAGAAGTTAAAGATTTCACAGTCGTCAACTGTGATCCCAGGAGACCTTTGGTGGAGAGGGGAATCAGAATTCGTTCATTTCAAAAGATAATGTAACCTGGGAACTGCAAAGCTGGAAAGGGACCCTCTGGGTCACTGAGTCCAGCATCTCTCAAAGAGGTATAGTGGGGCAACTTGCAGAAGTGCATGGCAAGGCTAGTTCTGATAGGGGCTACCACTACAGACACTCTGTGCCTCCAATGAGCCTTTAAGAGGTGTAGGGGATTATTGTGATTCTTGCACTGCAATGGGGTACTTTTCTTAATGATCGAAGAAGAAGAAGAAAGTGTGGGAAGGATGTAGAAGTGAAATAGCTGCCAGTTTGATAGCCTTCACTCCCATAATTTTTATGGGGTTCTTATCAACTTGTGGGAGTGGAAATCCTGAAAGTATGATTGTCCCATCCCTATTGAAGCTTTTAGCATTAAATGGATTTAAAGTATGATTGTCCCATCCCTAATACATGTTTGCCTATTGAAGCTTTTAGCATTAAATGGATTGACTCAATATGGGAAATCATGCCTGTCAGTCTGCAGCATATAAGTCTGGCTATTCAAGATAGGACCCTATGGAGCTCATCAATTTAGAGGGTTGGTTTAAGTCAGAAGAGATTCGATGGTATGTAACAACAAACTGTATCTTTACTTTATACATATGATGAAATCGGCTGTACTTCACAAAAACCTATGGCAAATATATATTTAGTCTTTGTGC